TGAGCTCACAGATGTATACATATAAGTATACGTGTGAATGCATGCTAAGTTGCTTCAGTCGTGTCTGACTCTGTGACCCTATGGACTGTAGCCAGGCAGGCTCTTCTGTCCATGAGATTCTCCAGGCAAAAATACTGGAGTAAGTTGCCATTTCCTTCCCCAACTTGTCAGAATTCATCGAAATGTTCACTAAAAATGGGTGCCTTTTACTGCATGTAAACTATGCTTTAGTAAAGTCAATTAAAAAGACAGAGCGGGGCTTACCTGGTGGCTCAGCAGCTGAGACTCTGCCAGCCAATGAGGAGATAGGAGTTTGGTCCCTGGTTAGGGAAGACCCCAAGTGCAGCAGAGCAAAGCAGCCCATGCACCACAACTACCGAGCCTGTGCGCTATAGCCAGGGAACCACAACTACTGACGCCCGCACACCCAGAGCCTGTGCTCCACCAGGGAAGCCCCTGCAGTGAGAGCCTGTGCATCGCAGCTGGAGGTAGCCCGTGCCTGCTGGAACTAGAGAAAAGCCCAGGCAGCAACGAAGATGCAGCAGAGTCAACAATAAAAACAAATAAAATTATAAAAAAACTAAAACACAGATCAGTGGGATAAAATAACAAAAATCCATTAAGTTCACTATAAATACATATGATCAATTTATGATAATCACAGCTCAGTACGCAACAGTGAATTATGGATAATCTTAAAAAAAAGTGAGATGTAAATCTCTGCTGGAATTAAAAGAAAAAAAAAGACAATCCCCCACAACTTAATTTTACATCTCATACAGAAATTAATTCTAGGTAAAAATTAAATCTAAATCTGAGAAGCAAAACAAAATTTCTATAGGATAACAGGAGTGTATTTTCATGACTTTGGTAAATCAAAGTTTATTAAAAGGACATAAAAGGCACTAACATAGTATCTTTCATTGAAAGACTGATCAAGTGGATATATTAAAAGTAACAACCCTTCATTAAAAGGTCCAGAGAGTGAAAAGGATAGTTACAGAGTGTGAGAAAGTATCTGCAATAGTCAGATGCAACAAATGACTACAGAATCTACAATATCCAGAAGACACACATAACACCCATAAGTCAATACACGACATCCGTAAGTCAACACTCATAAGTCAATGAGACTATGACTGACAACTCAATAGAAAAACGAACAAGATTCTCAAACAGGCAACGTATCCAGATGACCAATAAAGACATGAAAATGTGTTCAGTAGCTGTAGTCATATGGGAAACAGGAATTAAAACCAGAATAAGGCAGTACCACCAATCCTCCAACACAGCTAAAATTTGAGACTGATGACATCTAATGTCGTAGGGGATATGAAGCAACCGGAACTCCCAAACACTGCTGGCAAGAACATAAACTGACCCAAAACTTTAGAAGACATCTACTAGAGTTAAGATACATATTCCTTCTGAGCCAGGAATTCCCCTGCCAATTCCCAAACCCCAAATAGAAACAACCACAATTCCAACAGTAGAATAAACTGTGGTGTATTTATCCAATGGGATACTTACTGTACAGAGATGAAAAAGAATAAACTATCATTATATGAAATGACATAGATGAACCTCACAAAGTATGAATAAAATAAGCAGATATAAAACAATATCTAGTAATTCCATTTAAATACAGTTTTAAAAACTATAGTGTTAGAAGTTTATCAAAAAATATCAGTTGCTAAGAAATAACAAATGCTTACCATATGCCAAGTACCATTCTAAGTAATTTTTATGTATTTTAACTTGATTTTCACAACTCTATAATTAGAGGCAACTAATTATCCCAAATGTGCAAATTTAGTCACAAAGAGGTTAAATACTTTGCTCAAGGCCACAGAGCAACTACTACGTGTTAGACCTGGGATGTGAAGCAGCTAGACTGGCTGGAGACCTTGCAGTCTAAACGCTACATTGCCGCTCAGTGGTAGAGCTTTAATGGAAACACAGGAGGAGGAGGGCAAATGAAGCAGGGAGAGATAAGAGAAGCAGAATTCCTAACTTCCCATCTCCCAAGAAAACAAGCACAAGGTAATGCCTAAAATTTGGGGGATGGGGTGGGGGAGGAGAGAAGGGATCAAGAATTAGCAGTATATGCATGTTAACGAAAAAATCTGGAGGAAAGATCAGAAAAAACCCAGCTAAAACCATCACAAAAGTAGATGCCTCTAGGGAGTGAGTCAGAGTGGACCAGGGAACTGTTAATACTTAAAGCCTTGCTATTACAGAAAAAAACCACAGACACATTACTTTGATAAAAGTAATTTTGAAAGGTTTTAATAAGATCTAAATATTTTAAAAACAACACTATCATGTATTGAGCCCCAGTGTCCCTGGCACTTGGCTGAACATTTGAAAAGGAATATCTCATACAGAGTTGGTGCCCGTTATTACTACGATTTTGTTGATGGGGAAACAGATTCAGAGTTAACCAGCTGGCAGGTGGCAGTGTCCACGTGTGGACCACCACTAGGGAAGATGAAGGTCTAGAAGTCATCAAAGTGACAGGGATGAAGAGATATTCAGGGGTCCTGGACAGGAGCAAGTGACTCATGCTGGCTTCAGGGAGGAGAAGGGACAGAAGGAGGGCGATCTAGAAAGGATAACCAGGGTTCTGGCTTGAGTACCTGAGGATATGTTGGTCCTTTTCTCTACCACAAGGTCCATGCAAAGAGGAGCAGAGGGCCAGGCCTCTGATGGGGAGCTCCTGAGCTTAGTCATGGATATGCAGAGCCCCTGTATGTTTGGGAAAGGCACAGAGGAGTCGGGCAGGATGCATGAGGAAGACCTACCAGTGTGAACTCAGCAGAGGAGGAAGGGCAGGCAGAAGACTGAAGAGCACAGAAGGACACAGGGAGAGAAGGAACACCCGTGGCCTGGCCTGCTGACTGTCCAGCCTCTGGGCCGCCCGTCCAACATGCCCTGTCCCCCCTGGTACTCACTGCCCTCAACATCACCACCAGCTACCTCCACTCTTCAGAAACTTGTGTCTCTAAACTATCTTCTGAAATATAATCCACTCATTTATCAATACTGAGATGTCAGGGCATCCCAGAGCCTCACACTTTCACTGTGAGGCACCTTGGGACCTGGCAGAGCCCGGGCCAGCGTCAGGCCCTGGCTACATGCTCTCGCCGGGCCTCCACACTCCTCCTTCGGAGCACAGAAAATGGCCAAAGAACTCACTTCCTGTGCTTTGGTCACACAGTATGTCTCTCTCCTTCTTAGCAGGTACCTGAGGGCAGGAGGGGCTGGTCAACTTTTCCTGAAAAGCTCTAAATAATAAATACTCTGGGCTTTGTGGGCCATGGGATCTCAGTCACAGCTATTCAACTCTGCCCTTGAGGCAGAAAGCAGTGGAGACCACATATAAATGAACAGTAATGCTTTATCTTTGCTTTGACAGGTGGGCCAAAAGGCCAGGGTCTACTGAGCCCTGCTCTGAATTATCAGCACCCAGGTCAGCATCTGGCATACAGCCGGCACTGGATGAGCAAATAATGAAAGGAAACAGCCCTTGGCTTTGTCAGTGAGTTGGAAGCAGGTCCTGAGGGAAGGTGGTTTCAGCAGAGCGGAGGAGGTGGGATGGTTGGCAGAGGGCTGAAAAAGCAGTAAGCTCTTGTTCCAGAGCCCCCAGTTTGCCCAGCAGGTCTGGGGAATGGCCCTGTCTGAGGGGAGCAGGTCTGTAGGCAGGGCTGGGGAAGGAGTCGGAGGGTGCTCCTGAGCTCAGGCGTGCGTGGGGTTCGTCATGAAGGAGGGAGACACGTGCCAAGGACAGAGAAACAGGGACGGGTAGAGAAGATGACGGGAGAGCCTCATCTCGCTCTTGCCTGTGAGACGTTCACCCACACTAAACAGGGAAGACAGCCGGGCTTGGGGACAGGGTGCGCGGCCAAACGGAGAGGACTGGTCGCCAGGACAGGGCCATGGACCTCCGCGCGAGCGCCAGAGAGACCCCCAGCCTCCCCTCTTCTCTGGCGAGGCAGCACCTCTAACCAAGCTGGCGGTGGGGTTTGGGGCGCTGACTAGTGTGAGGTGTGTCACTCCCTGAGTCAGCAGCAGGGCCTACTGTCACTTCCTGCCACTTCACTTTCCCACGCACGTAGTGACAGGCAGGTCTAGAGGAGGATGAGTTCACACATTAAACGTGCAGACACACCCAGTCTTTTCCTGGAGAACATTCAAAGTCACTTTAATGTCAGAGAGTCAGTGGTGGTTTCATCTTGATGCCTTCAAATGTGGACGTGCATGCTGTGAATTATTTTCCGATTAGACAGATTAGATTTTTAAGTGGAAACAACCAATTGGGTGAGGCTTTGCATAGCAGCTACCTAGTTTTATAAGCTTAACAAGAGTATTAAAAGACACGAAACACAAAAAACACAACTTCTCGCAGAGGAAGTATCAACAGTACGCTATTTAAACAGCCTGAAAAGTTCAGAGGCAAAAACCTATGGCCAGTCAATTTCACTTTTCCTATGAACCAGATACCCCCAAAAGGCTTACATTTTGATATTACTCTGTTAATTCATCACTACTACAGGAATGTGCAGGCATGGTGCTGAAATGTGTGAGAAGGGTTCAGACTCCAAACTATTTTTCAGGAAGAGCTAAAGCTGTCTAAAGTATCTTTTAGTTGACATGCCAGGGGAAAAAAAGCATTAAGACCTATTTTCTTCTGCCTTATTTCAAGGTGAAATTTGCTGTTCCTATTCACAGATCGAAGGCTCTATGTATATTCTAATAAATAAAACTTTAATTCATACTTTCACCTTCAAGTTTTCACTTCTCACAAGTTAAAAGACGATTTTCCTAAAACACATCAATCCTTGCTCTACTCTTTCAAGTCCTTCTAGAGATTATGGTAATCACCGTCTCCAAATTCACTAGCTTTTAGAACGGGGATGCTTACCCTTGTAACACATCTTTGTTTCAAAGGACTTTTTAGTACACCTTTAGATACATATTCAGTAAACATAATCTCTTACCCTATTGTTGGGTTGATGTTCGGATCAAAACTGTCTTCCACGAACCGCCACACAATACTTGATTTACCCACACCTGTATCCTGAAATACAATGAGAGAGGCAAAGAAAAAAGTTACTTGCTGACACATACCAAAAGCTGCCTTGTGCCCTAAGTTCAGGATTTTGGAAAAATCATCCTGGATAGGTGAATTTTAAAGAAACACAAAGGAGATTTTCATAAAAATTCAGTGGAGTAATTATAAGATTTCAAAATGTATTGCAGGAGAGGATATATGAGTTTACAAAAGATGTGAGGATCTACTGAAAGACCCCAAGTTTCTGCGTAGCGTGCAAAGTGACAAACTCAATTGCTCTCTAACAAGTCTACCTTAAGAATGAACTCTTGAACTACTTCTGAGTAATTCCTGATACATCCCAGCCCCACCCAATCTGGGAAGGGGTAAGACTAGTTATTGAAATCTTTCTCAGTCTTTAAAGTAGCAACTCTGGTAAGAGAGTATCAACTTCAGAAAGTATGCTCTGAAATCGCAAAGTTGCCTTGACAAGTAAGGAAGCTAAAGCTTCAAACCAGTTTTGGGGGCTTTTTGATTTGAATGTCCCCACTCCCACCCCAGGAAGGTAAATCTACGTGAAGTATCAGGGGTATTCCACAAGTTCAAAAACACCAAGCAGACAGGAAAGCAGACTAATGCTGCTTGTAAAACATAAAGACCTGTTACTAGTCACTTTGCAAGCCTTGGCCAACTCCTAACTAGTACCTAGGGAAACTATTTACGACTGCTCTTAACCCAGAAGCAATGGAAGGGCAGGGAGGACTCTTCACCCTCTGGGGGGCAGGAAGAGTCCCTGGGCACCTGTGAGGGAGAAGGGTGAACCCTACCAACAGCAAATCCTTCAGGAGGGTGCGGCCAGGTGGGCGGGACGGCCCAGGGCGCCGAAGTGAGGGTCCGGGCAGGTAGGTGGTGTCCCGCACCCAGTCTGGGGGAAGGGGCGGAGGGAACGTGGGCACGCCACGGTCTGCGGCCCGCCTGTCCTCCCGCGGCCCTCCCGGTCGGCCCGCCGCCACTCACCCCCAGCAGACACACTTTGAGCTCCCTCAGCGCCATGGCCTGGGAGCCAGGGGCGCGGGCCCGCCGCCGCCCTAAGTTGAGAAGGGAGAGGCCCGGCCCAGCACGAGCATCCCCCGGCGCCGCCGCCGCACGGCCTAGCCCCGGCCGCGGGGCGCGCAGAGGCGGCGGTCGCCCGTTCGCTGGCCCTCGGCCCGGCCCGTCCGTCGCCAGCCGCGCGGGGCCCGTCTCAGCAGCCCGGACGGTACAGCGGGTTCCCGGGCGCCACCGCCGCCGCCATCTTGGGACGCCGGCCGGGTCACCTGACCTCCCCGCCCACTTCGGCAGCCACCTTCGCCGAGAGGGCGGGGCCGGCCGGCGCAGCTAGGCTCGCGGGGAGGCCCGGGCTCGGGGGCGGGGCTGGCACTGAGGGGGCGGGACGCGAAACCATATACCCCGCCCCTATCCCTCAGGCCCCGCCCCTCGGGCGCCGGCCCCGCCTCCAGGTCATCTCAAGATGGCGGGTGAATGGGGTCCAGCTCCTGGGGCACCCCCCTCCCCTTCAGCCGGAACCACCCCAGGAGTCCCGAGGACCCCCCCCCCCGCCCATCCCTGAGTCCACCAGCCGCAGCCCCCTCGTAACTCCTTGTGTGTCTCTTGGTTTTCAGAGATGCCCCTGTACTTTGTGGACTTGCAGGATGACTTAGACGATTGTAAGTAACAGTTGGGGCATCCCGCCCCTCCCTGGGAACTTCTCGCAGAATTAGGGGTGCACAGATGGCGGGTGTGGGATCTACAGGCTGAACTCTTCGTGTTGGAACCAGAATAGGGGGACCCCCAATTGCCTTGATCACTTGTGGCGGTCCCTCCTCACTGGGCGGGGCGGCCGAGGACGGGGACCCCTCCCAGCCATGGGGAGGATTTTTGTTGTTGGAAAACTTCTGACTTCCTGTTACTTTCTTTCTCTTCCTCCTCCTCCTCCTCCTGCGTGGCCCGGGAGGGCTAGTCCTTCGTTCATCCTGGCGATTCCCGGCGGGAGGAGGCCTGGCCCCCTCCGGCGTCGGAGGTCTTCCAGCCAGGGTCTCCAGTTGTTCCCCAGGACTTGTCAGAATGCTGGGGAGTTTGGGAGGTCCGGCTCTCAGTGTGGCCGGCCACAGACTCGCACAGACTTCTCCAGTGTCCTGGCCACAAGCCCAGCCCTGTTTCATCCTGAGGAGCCCACTGGTACCCGCCTTTCTCGGATGGGTCTCCCTCCAGTACCTTCCTACCCTCTCCTTTAGAATCACTTTAAGGACTGATGGGTGGAGAAGATGGACTTGTTAAGGCAAGTTCGTACTGGTGGTGAATGAAGCATTTCTTTTCCATTCAGCAAACTTTTCTTGAGGACCTCCTGTTTCTGGGCCAGGCCGTGTGCCGATCCCAGAACCTACAAAGATGAACCTGAGACTGTGACGGCTCTCACAGGCCAGGGAGAGAGCCACCTTGTAAACAGATGATTACCAAACCCTGGGTGCTTGCTGATGAAGGAAGCCTGTACAAACAGTACAGTAACCAACATCAATGGGGCTTACTGGGCTCTTTCCTTCTGCATCTACAGGTTTCCTACTAACAAGAACTGGGGTTTGCTGAAAATACCATAGGTCAGGCACATTTATTTATACACATACTTTTTCAGAAATAAGTGCAATTTATACACATTATTTCTTTCAGAAGGAGGCAACTTTATTAAAGTAAAATGACCCTTGAAGGGGCCAGTGGTTAGGAGCGTGGGTTCTGGAGTCAGATGGCCAGAGGGTGAAGTCCTGAGCCACTCTTTACTGGCTGTGTGATCCTGGCCAAGTCAATGTACCTCTCTGAGCTTCACTGGCTTCATCTGTAGAATGGGCATAATAATGGTCCACCTCAGAGGGCTTTAGTAGAGCTCAACTAATAAAAGGTTTAGGAACTTTGGTGGTCCAGAGGCTGAGACTGTGTGCTTCTAACGCAGGTGGCCCAGGTTCAGTCCCTGGTGGGGGAACTAGATCTCACATGCCACAACTGAGAGGTTGCATGCTGTAACTCAAGATCCTGCATACTGCAATTAGAAGGTCCTGCATGCCTTGATGAAGATCAGAGATCCTGTGTGCTGCAACTTAGATCTGGCACAGCCAAATAAATATATAAAAAATAAAAGGTTTAGCACGAAGTCTTGTACGTAAGAAGCAGTAAATATTACCTGCCATTATTATTGATGTGATTATTCATAATTATTGAATACTGTGGATCAAGGTACAATGTGGGCCATGGGTTTACAAAATGTTTCAGCCAATGGGTGTCTTTGAATGGAAGGAATGTAGCATTGCTCTTGATAAGCAATAGTAAGCTGCTGTTAAGGCACCTCTCATTCATAGATTTAATGTTAGGCCTGGCTGGAATAGCTGGTTTTTGGCTATTTCAGTTATCTAACAAACTACCTGAACCCTTAGTGGCTTAAATCAACAGCATAACAATTCTGTGCATTGACTGGGTGATACAGAAGCCTCATGTGTTCTCTGGAACTCTGGGGAGATGGGAGGGTTCAAAACGGCTTTCCTCACTTGGCTGTTGGCAAGGAAATCTGCTGGAACTGTAGATCAGGGCCTCAGTTCTCCAGTTGCTTCTTCCACTTGGCTAGCTTGGACTTTCAAAGAGTAGTGAAAGTGAAGTTGCTCAGTCGTGTCCAACCCTTTGCAACCCCATTGACTGTAGCCCACTAGGCTCCTCCATCCATGGGATTCTCTAGGCAAGAATACTGGAGTGGGTTGCCATTTCCTTCTCCAGGGTATCTACCCGACCCAGGGATCGAACCCAGGTCTCCCGCATTGCAGGCAGACGCTTTCACCTCTGAGCCACCAGGGAAACCCTCAAAGGGTGGTGGTGGCAGGCAATTGGATCTCCTCTGGCAGCTAGCTTCCTTTTGTCTTTTCTGTATATGTGTACAGAAAGGAATTAAGAGATTATATAGGAAAATAATTCTGATTTTGGCTCTGTTTGTACATATCTTAGGTGACACTTGTAATAAAGAATGCATTCAATACTGTTTAGGAGACTGCTGAAGACTTGTCCCAGTAAGGAAGGAAACCAGCATCATGGCTCTGAACACACCCAGGCCATGGGTAGGGCCACTCGGGGAGCCTCCCGGGGCCTCCTTATTGTGCAGAGGTGGGGCTTCAGGATGCTGTATCTATGAAATTATAATATAATTGGTCTAATTAATAGCCATAATAGGAGGGCCTTTACCCCCCAGTAATTTATGCTGCCCTAGGTCCCACTTTACTGTCGTGGTGTTTGGGAGGCATCATTACACTGTGATTACGGCAAAAACCCTGAGGTCAGGTGATCCACTTCCTGTCTTTAGCTGAGTCAGCATGAGCCGATCACTCACCTTTGTTCACTTTCTTCATCTGGAAGACCTGACAACTGGAGATGCTTCATAGGACTGATACGAGGATTAGATGAGACAGAAGACACAAAATGTTTTAGGGACTTCCTTGGTGGTTAAGACTCCAGTGGCTAAGACTCACACTCCCAAAGCAGGGGGCCTGGGTTTGATCCTTGGTCAGGGAACTAGATCTCACATTACCCAACTAAGAGTTTGCATGCTGCACCTAAAAAAAAAATCACACATGCCTCATCAAAGATTGAAGATTCCAAGAGGTGCAACTAAGACCCGGCAAATAAATAATTAATTAATAAAGTATTAAAAAAAAAAAGACATCTTAGCCCAGTGCCTGGCATAGAGTATTACATTCAATGATTATTACTGTTATTATTTTAACTGTCATCATTACAGCTAGGCATTCATATAAGATTTTCTGTTCCTGTGTTAAGGGCTGCTACTGTGTGGTAGGCAGGATTGTTCCTGATTTATAAATGATGAAACAGAATCAGAGAGGTTAAGTAACTTACTCATTATGGCATAGGTCATAAATGATAGAACTAGCAAAACTAGCAATCAGACTAGTTAGACTAGTCCTGATTCTTCCTCTTTTTATTCCATCACAGAGATCAATCTCACAAATATTCTTAAGCTAATGGTAGGGCACAGTTTGTTGGTTTAGGTGGGTTCTGCATCTGTTGTCCTCGGACTTTTTTTTGGTCTAAATGACGGGATAGCCGTTCCATCTAGGCTCTAAGTCTCCTTGGGCAGGGACACTGGTCTTGCTTTTTATAACCTAGTGTCCTCCATGATCTAGGTGTTCAATTAATGTTGTTACTGGTAACCAAGATGGATTACGAGGCTTGTCTGATTTATTTTGTGATTTCTTGATTAAATTGGCTCACTGCAAAAAGAAGCCTTCAGGAAAGGTTGCCATATTTTTTCAAAATCATTTCAGTCTTTGGGCCATCGGAGCACAGAATAGACTTAATTTTAGTGAGTTAGCCTGCTGAAGCTCCCTAAATTCCTTCTCTTGAGAGCAAAAAGTGTGTGGGATGGCCAGACACAGTGGTCCTGGTGGTAGATTGCACGTGGAAGGTGGAGCTGGATGTGTCTCTGCCTCAAGGGCTTATAGGCCTGTCAGCGGCTGGGTTGATTAAAGCATGTGGGGGCTAAAGAGGTATAACTCCTGGTAAGGCTTGCTTGACCAATTAGAATTTAAATGTGTATTAGTGGTGGGTGAAAAAAAGTGAGGGGACTCTGTTGCAGATATAAAGAGACCTATCAACAAAATACAATATATGGTCATATTTGGATCCTTAATTGAACAAATGAGCTATAAAAAGACATCATTGAGACAGTGGGGAAAATTAAACTTGACCCAGGTATTAGATTATATTAAGAATTATTAATCTTGTCAGATGTGATAGTGGTGTCACAGTTTTGTTTGAAGGAGAAGGACTTTATTTAACAGAAGCAAATAGGCATTTGTTGGTGAAACGATATGATATGTGAGGCCTGCTTTTAAAATACTGCAGCAAACAATAAATAATCAACAAGTTGGAAAGAAAGATGAGTGGGAAAAATTGTAGACTATTTATACTTGTTGAAACTGGCTGGTAAGAGTGTGGGGGTTTATTATAGTATTATATTTTTGCATATACTTGAAAATTTCCTAAATGAAAAATTTTTTAAAATGAGATGAAAGTTTCATATAGGATCAAACATCTGTATAAAGAGTTTAATGCTGGATTTCAGTTCTGAAGTCAGCCGCCATGTTATTGTAAGATACATTTAGCTTCAAAAGACAGACTTGGAGAATGTATTAGTATTTGGGGGACAGTGTATTTCTTTCCAAATGTTCAGTTTTTAAGAGGTAGCTATGAAAGAAGTTGGAAAAAGGTATACTCCTGTGATGAAGAAAACTAGGTGCCAACAAATGATGTGTGTTTCTTTGTTGGAAATAGGATTAGCTAAGTTTGAGGAATACAGATAGACTCTTGGAATAGGAGTGGAGTATGTTCACGCTTGAATAAAAGACACCTTCTAGAGCAGGAAGTATTCTGTTTCACCTGCCCACTTTGGTCAGGTTTGTAACAATGTGCTGCTCAAGGACCACAACCAAGAGGAGAAAATATATTAATTTGAGCCCTAAACCAAACCATTGAACTTTTTCTCTAACTATTACATAAACTTGATTGTCAAAAAAATTTTTAAGTAAAAACCTCCCTGTTGAGTGAACTAGTTTGAACAGGAACTTGAGTGTATTAACAGTTGGGAAATAGAATGAAATCTAGCCATTAGATTGTTCCCTAAATCAGAGATGGGCATTTTGTTTTTTTTCCCATAAAGGATCAGACAGTAAACATTTTAGACTTTGCTGGCCCGAAGTCCTAATGCAACCACTCAAGTCTGCCATTGTGACCTAGTAGCACCCACTGCTGCTGCCCCTGCTAAGTTGCTTCTGTTGCGTCTGACTCTGTGCGACCCCATAGATGGCAGCCCACCAGGCTCCTCTGTCCCGGGGATTCTCCAGGCAAGAATGCTGGAGCGGGTTGCCATTTCCTTCTCCAATGCATGCATGCATGCTAAGTCGCTTCAGTCATGTCCGTCTCTGTGCGACCCTATGGACAGCAGCCCACCAGGCTCCTGTGTCCACGAGATTCTGTAGGCAAGAACACTGGAGTGGGTTGCCATTTCTTTCTCCAAGTAGCACTCACAGATGTACATAAATGAATGGACATGGTTATTTGCTAAAAAAGTTTTATTTACAAACACAGGCAGTGGGCTGGATTTGGCCTTCTGTTCTAAATCAAACTTGATTCTATTTTTACCCCCTTTTTTTGAGGGGGTGGTTTAATTGAAGTGTAATTTACAGTGTTGTGTTAGGTTCAGGTGTCCAGCAAAGTGATTCAGTTATATGCATGTATTATGTATGTATATAAATCTTTTTTATTATATATTTATTTTATATATATTCTTTTTCAGATTCTTTCCCATTATAGGCTATTGCAAGATATTCAGTACAGTTCCTTGTGTTATACAGTAGGTCCTTGTTCGTTGGTTACCTATTTTATGTATAATAGTGTGTATATCCTAAACTCCTAATTTGTCCCTCCCCAATCCCCCTCTGGTAACCATAAGTTTGTTTTCTAGTCTGTGAGTCTGTTGCTGTTTTGTAAATAAGTTCGTTTGTGTCATTTTTTAAAGATTCCACCTGTAAGCTATATCATATGATATTTGTCTTTCTCTGAAACTCGATTTCATCCCATCAGAGCCTCAAAGTCCATCGATTAGCTGAGCCAGCCCAGAGGCTGCGTTTCTCATGGGGCTCAGTCCGAAGAGCTGACTTCTGCTGGCACAAGCCCTGCCCTGCTGGGTAGCCCTCGGAAAGCTGCCAAGGCTTCACGTCTCTCTTTTCCTGTTGGTGTTTGGGGATTAGAAGGATGTACCTATCTCCTTCCAACAGGATGAGAGTGGCAAGGAAGAGAAGAGTCAGTGTGGTGGGAGCGGAGTCAGCCTTGCTTCCTGTCTGATGATTGTAATGCATTTTACTCTTGTTGTTCTGTATTTTCCATATCCTGTAAGACAAACAGATGAACATCAGAGATTCCCTGGAATCATCTCTGTTTAAAAAAGAGAGC